GTTTGAAAATAAATTTGAAAAAAATACTTGACATAGGGTAAGTCAACATTTGTGTGAGTTGGTCATCTTCTAACATGGAGGATAACTGCTAGACAGGTTTTCTTGAAAATTACTCATAGACTTCCTTTCTTGGCTGGGCCAATGGTCCTCTGTCAGTTGACAATGATGAGGGGCAACAGAAAGGGCTCCATGAGCCAAACATAGTGGGTAACAAGATCACTTCTTTGGGACTAAGTCACATGACAAAGTTTCCTCATGGAGGACAGGCCCTCAGTGGAGCTTACCTGTGTGTCAGTCTACACTGGTTACCACAGTCAGGAACTATCTCTTTCCTCTTGCTGGGAGACAGAGCACACAGTGGCTCGTGAGACTGGGGATTCAGTCACTTTGGGGTGACCCTTCTGAGAGGTGAGGACACCTAATTTTACCCCTGTGCTGGCTAATGTCACATGGGAGTTGAAAATCTCTTCCTAAGGTTTGGAAACCCTGGAAGCCTCAGAGATTTTCATTTTGGATCTCTGCTATTCAAAGTGTTTAAATAAAGATGATTGCTACCACTTAACCGAGTGCTTTATTATATCAGGAGCCATGGAGGCCTATAATTCATGAATGTCCAGGATGTGGTCTGGGAGAAGGAGCCTCCTTGTAAGACTCAGGCACTGGTCTCTTCCCTCAGTGTTTCCTGAGACATTAGGGGAGGGCTGAATTTCTACTAGTGAAAAAAAAAAAAAACATTGAAGATTTTACTTCAAAATGAATTGATTACTTTTGTTTAAAAGCAAAGAAGGGGGCGAGGCTGGAGAGATGGCCCTGAGGTTAAAAGCAGTCATGTACTGCTCTTACAGAGGACCCAAATTTGGTTCCCAGCACCCACTTCAAGGGACTTACAGCCACCTATAATTCCAGGTCCAGGGGATCTGCAAGCTCTCTTCTGGCTTCCACAGGTACCTGCACTAAGGTGCACATACCTACACATAAACACACATGCTTACACATAATTAGAAACTAAAGATATACCTTTTTAAAGTTTTTTTTAAATTTTTATTTTTATGTGTATGAGTGTGTTGCCTGCATGTGTGTAAGTACACCATGTTGTGCAATGCCCGCGGAGGACAGAAGAGGGCGTCGGATCCCTGGAACTGGAGTTATGGATAGTTGTTAGCCACTATGTGGATGCTGAAAATCGAACCTGGGTTCTTGACAAGAGCAGCCAATGCTCTTAACCACTGAGCCAGCTCTCCAGTCCTCCCCCAAAATATATCTTAAAAGAAAACAAGGGAAAAAACGGAGGGAGAGTCTTTTCTCTAACCCAGCCCTGTTTCACCCATTTCATTTGGATGGGGACACCTTTCCATGTACTTTTTAAGGTAACTAACAAAGACTGCAGAACTGACCACATTTCAAACCTAGAAGTCTTTAGGATTCTTCAGAGCATGGCAAGAGATTAGTAAAGAACGCAGATTCTACCCTTGGGGACATTTTTTCATTTTCTCCTATGGATAGCCAATTGCATCTTCCCCACCCAGGTAAAGTGGTCCATTTGCATAAATGTGATGCTTTTGGAAGGTGTTCTGTGATTTCCAATCATCCCTAGAAATAAAATCACAGCTCCTGTCTCACCTTCCACTGAAGTGTTTTCACACTCCGGGGAATTGCTCACCGCCGCCTGAATGTAGAATTGGACGGGTGTCAGTTTCAAACTGATACTACTCACAGCTGTCTTCAGGACTTGAAAAAGGTGTCAAAGTGGCTCTGGAAGGTGCTTCTCAGGACAGGCTAGGAGATCCTCTTTGCTCTTAAAGTCATGGGGCCTCACCCTGTGATTTCCACTAAGGAAAGCTGCTCCCAGGGTTTTCCGCTGAGAATTAAGTGGGATGTGGAATATTGTTGCCCTGATGGGGCAAGTAATCACAGTGAGAGAAAAGAGGTACCATTTAAACAACTTCCTTTCTGAGTTTCACCATAATAGAAAAATAAGTTTTTTTCCGGAGCAGAAACAATGCACTGTACTGAAATAGCATGGTCCTTCTAAATCAATTTTGATTGAGCATATAAGCCTAGCATACCCAAGGTCCTAGGTTTGATCCCTGGCATTTTCTAAATAAATAAAATGAATCTTGTATTGGATTTCCACCTTGTTAAACAGTGCCTAGCCTTTCCTGTTCCCCACTTCTCCTCTCCTCACTCCCCCTCCCTCCCCTTCCCCTTCCCCCTCCCTTTCCCCTCCCCCTCCCTCTCCTGGGTTTACAGACATGTACCATGATATCCAGCCTCAAAACAATTTAAAAACAAAACAAACAAAAACAACCAACCAAACAAAAAACACAATGTTGTTTTAAAGTAGAGACATAATAACCTGGGCCTTTAATGGAGAGTCACAAAAGCAGGGAGCTGAAAAATATCTCACATTTGGGATGGAGAGAGGGTCAGGGGTTAAGAACACTGGCTGCTCTTGCAGAGGACCCAGGTTCACCCAGCACCCACATGGCAACTAAAAGCTGTAACTCCAGTTCCAGGGATCCAATGCCCTCTTCCGGCCTCCACGGGCTTTTCACGCACGTAGTACACAACATATATTCAGACAAAATACTCATACACATAAAATAAAAATAACCTAAAACTTCTCACCTTATATTGTAATAGAAACAAAAGTGATAGATTTATTTTGAATTTGATAGTCAGCTCAGTAAGGTTTTTTAAGTCTTGAAAATATTGTCAAAACCTAAACACTAGGCTAAGGCTGGCCATGTAGCTTAGTTGTGGAGTACTTGACTA